GTTACTCTACAAGTCACCACCCTATAAATGTCTTCAGTGAAGATCTTTGTTTCTAGTAGTTCAAACTAGAATTCGCTTCCTCCAGTTAATCCTTCTACATTCATTACCCAAATCTACATACAACCCATTCACAGCTATAAATGCCATTTAAAGATGTGCCCACACTGCAGTGACAAATGCAGCACAGGCACATCCAAACAGAGTAGCTGAACAACAGCAGTTCAAGCACATGAGAGCGAAGTTCAGAATTGCTTTCCCTGCTTCTTGTCTAGAGGCATTTCAGATTATGGAGCATCTGATTTGCTAAGCACTAAATCTGACTCAAAGGAGAACTAGTAAGAAAATAAAGAGGAAAGACAGAATGCTCCTTGGTAGTACGCCAGAAATACAGAGGAAATAATTTGGCAGTTTTTAAACACAGCTTACTTACCGTACAACTTCACAGTATTTTAAGACCAAAAGGAATTGTTAACATGGTTTGAACGTCCCTCCTGCGTATTATAACATGTCAAATTTTATTTGATTGTTGTATAGGTGACGTGTATGAGATTTTTCATCCTTCTTGCTGATGGCTATTGCTTCCTTTCCCTTCTCCAATCTAGTTTCAGCAGTGAAAGTCTAGAAATCTACATTAAGTTGCAAAATATAGCCTTAATTCTTAGCTTTAGCTATATTACCAATTACTCTTTTGGTCATATCTTACGCATTATCTTCAAAGTAATTACCTAAAGTGTCTTGAATTTTATCACACAAGCAAAATCTTTTAAAAGCATTGTATGTAATCTCCAACTTTTATATCTCTTTTCATTAAGGCAATCTTAAAACGTAAGCTCGCCAGAAATGAGATCAGACCATGAGATAATATCTATATCAGAATCTTACTGACTGCATTAGTTTCTTACAATGTAACATCAGTTCCATCCCTAGATAAAATTACAGAAGTGGGAAAAGTCAGTAAACTACTAGTCTCTACTTTGAGAGCTCATTGAGTTTTCAAATACTAAAAAAAAGGAAGATACTTCCAAAAAATCCCCCTTTCTTCACTGTAAAGACACAAGAACTTAAATCACCATAATTTTTTTTGAAATCATTATAGTCTTCTAAAAAACCTCAAAAATTTGTTTTGGAAAATAATGCTTCAGTCATCTGTCATCTTTTCCACCAGCCCTGCTGAAATGTTGCTAATGAGGACAGTTGGCAGAGGCTTTTCTAATTTTTGAACACTAACCTTCGTAGCACAGTAACATCAGGATTCTGGTTTTCATTCCAATACAGAAAACACACAAGATTTTCTCATTATTCCCCTCAAAATATGTTGAGCAATTATTTTATAAAAAGCATCTCCTATAGAGCAGCTACCACAAAATTAGCTCCATGTGCTGTCTCTGACACTGGTCAATAGCTGGCACCTCATAAAGACTATAACAAGATGGAAACACTTCAGTAATTCTTCCTAGCTTTCAGTAAGTACTCTTACCAGTGATAAAAATGACATTTGTACATCTGCAGGAATTTATTCCTCCTCCCATTTCACTTGAGGATCTTAATTCATGCCCTGGGAGAGAAGTGAATAAATGCACAGCAAAGACAGATAAGCAGCAACTAGCTGATCTCCCTCCTTAAAGGCACAAGTTACGCTGGCTGCTGGAGGTGACTAAACAGTGTAAGAAACAAAGTGAAGGGCACCGAACAGCTTACATATTCAACACTTTTACTTTAACTCTTTTCTGTTATTTATTATGCTTTTAGAATGAGTTCACAGCCAAGTCCTAATTTAGTCTTTTATAGGGGGTACATGTTCCTGGGGAATGAGAAGTGATGACAGAGACCATAGTACCTTTTGAAAGCTATAGTCCAAAATGACAAACTCACAGGTTTCATTGACCCCACAGATATCTCAAACTCTTTTTTTAATCTGAAACTAATGTCTTTTTTTCCCCTTAAGAACACAAGGAGTAGAAATTGAGAGTTTTAAAGAATATTTTATAGGCCAAAAGTGCCAATGACTTGTCTTACATAAGAGCAAAGAAAAAATGCATCATTCTTTTCTCAGTATTCTTTGGCCAGATCTGAGCTAAAAACAACTACCAGATCCTTCAAGTGTAAGAAAACATTGTAAAAAACGGAGCTTAAGACAGACAAAACCATTCCACAACCATCTACACTGCGTTGAAGCTGCATTAAAATGATAGGAAACGAGCAAAATCAGCACCTTAAAATTTAGATTTTAGATACATCATAGTATCTCACACCAAATGCTAGTTGTTTGAAAACGGGAACTTGATCCCATGTGGACAATATAATTTCCACTTGCACCTAAAAAAAATGTAATGACTTCTTCAGTGAGACAAACAGTGCCATTCTCTTATTCTTGTATACTTTGAATTTTATACTCTTGTCAGTGATTATCAAATATAAAGTGAAAACCTCACATTCAGGGAAGGAAGCACCAAGTTCCTGCATGTTGCTGCTTCTGCTTCATGAAACTTCCTAGTTTCCTAATGCAGCTGTGAAAGTATCGTTCTGCTGCACGTTGTAGAGAACACTCTATGATTTGTCACTGTAGAGACTGCTCGCTTTAGGGTACTTCAACACATACTGAGTCTTAAGCTTATTATGACAATTGTGCTGAGTTTAAAACTAAAGACTACATTTGAAATAAATCAGTAATAAATAAAAAACTGAAATCTAGCAGGAAATCAAACTCTCCAGAACAATTCAAGAGACAAAGTCTATCCAGTAATATGACAAGGACAAATTTTACAAAGATTTGCTTCAAATACCAACCTAATATTCAGCATTTCAGTCCTAAATCACAAAGTCTTACAGACAGGAAACCACTTGCTTCTGTCTCCAAAGGTGTCTTGTGGTCTGCCAGTGTAGTTTGTGGGTACACAAGTTAATTCTAATCTTTCATACCACTCCTGTAATCTAGGTAATACATATGAGCCTTGCAACATCCAACAGGAAGTAGAGACAGCTGCTGTGTAATATATATACAGTGACTGTATGCACAGAGGGGTAGTATACGAAACGAAGAACTTCAGCAGTTTGTAAATCATTTAATTTCATTCAGTTTGAATTCAAAGAAAAAAAAGTGGCAACTACAAAGTACCTCTTCCTCTTTCCTCCCTCCAGTAGTTCATTTCAACATACGTGACAAACTAGTTTATGACCTCTTTTCCTTAAGTCCTCAAACTTAATGCAAAATGAGAGCAGCCCGACTTTCCACGGCTTTTACCCCTCCCTCCAAGTTAGCTGCTTACTTCAGTACTACTTACTGAAACAAGATGTTTTTTCCATAGAAGTTGCTTCCACCTAGCAGTTTACTGTCTAATCAATGGGAACTACTCTGAACTCCTAGCACCCAGTGTACAATCAGCATGCAAACCTGGTTAGAAAGTTTGCAATGCCTGCATACTCGTGTCATTTACATCATATCAGAGCAGGTTAAACTGTGAGGTCAAGGGACAGAATATAAATAGCATCATCAGATCTTACTTCTGTACCAAAGGCAGATGAGACAAGCTTACAGAATTTACTGACAAGTAACAAAGCTGCTTGACAGCAATTGCAGCCTGTCAGAGCTGTGCAGTATGCAACAGCATTTAAAAATCCTGGTAAATTACAGGTCAGGAACATTTAGATATAGATGTATGTATATACACATACACATATCAATAAAGCAAACAAAATTAATTACTTGTATTTATCTATTTAATACACAGTCTGCTCCAGAAGTAATGCCTCCCATTCTGTTATGTTGGGCAAAGTCACAGGCACATGTTGCAGGTAGGGCAGTAGAGGTTGAACCTCCCCTCCAATACTCCACTACATTCTGTTGTTGTGCAACAGATGGCAGCAGGAGGGCACTCTGAGAGAATAGTGTCTGCAGATGAAACAAAGGTGAGTCACTCAATTCCTCCATGTGGAAAAAAACCAGCACCCAGTGAAATTCACCAATGCTTGCTGAACATTTACAGACACTAAACAGTGGACGTGGTGTTTCAGCAGCGGTGATGACATGGAAGACGAGCCATGTTCCAGATGATCACACACATTTGTAGAAGCATGGCATGCAAGCTCTTGTTCATCACTGGTGAAAATGCCTGGCTATTGGCAGTGCATATGGTGAACAGTTGTGTTTTGTGGCTGAGAACTCACTCTAACAGCATTTTCTGTATCTCCATGGAAATAAATAGGAGGCATTACTTTCAGAGTGACTTACATACTACAATTTTTAACTACTACCAGAGCTGAGTATTACAAGACACGTGGAAGCAGACTATAATGCAAAGGTGACCAGGCATTTTGCACATAGTGCAGTGATAAGACATTTCTTCACAGCACAGGATGAACTGAAATAAGCCAGTGAGCACAGAGGTTACATAAGCTATCTCAGTTTCAGGACCCTCTGATCTTTTTTACTAATAGTTACTACAACTATTAAAGCAAGGAAGTTTGAAGATAGAAATTTCATAGGTCAAAGGTTTTGGTAGTTAAAAACTGTATCTGTTAAACAGTATTAAGCCAGCATCCTTTTTCTTTTTAAGCAATCCCAGAACACTACCACAAAATTAGTCCTTATAATAGCAAACACCAAAAGAGATCTCTACAGACTCTTCTGCATATGCAAACAGTTTATTTTCTAATTGAATTAACCTTAAGACCTGTACCAAGTGAAAGCAAAGGAGCTTGTTTTCATGCTTCCATCTCTGAACACAGCAATGTATGATCAACTCACAAAATTAACAAGATGGAAGAAATGCCATCCTCAGTAATATCAAATCACGTAACTAAGCGAATTTTAGTTTTCTTACTCATGAGGTTACAAGTACAATATGCATATACAAATATTAGTTTTATTGCATTTATTTCAAATAACTTAAATTGGAAAAACCAGGTAATGAAGCTCTAACAGCTACTAGAAAAGAAAAGCCTGCTACACTTAAGAGATATGACAACAGGTACAAGATATCAGGCAGTATTTTACCACTTACCTCATGATGCAGCTCAGCTATCTGATCTTTCAGTTCTCTGATATACTGGTTAGAATCAGATTTATTAAGCTGCCCTTGAATCTTTCCTTCTTCTTTCTGTTTTGGTTAAAAAAAGAATCTTATTGAAATTGTTCACAAACATACAATCTTAAAATGCTATTTTAGTTGTCTGCTTTTTTTCTTTTTTTAAATCATGCACAGATATTCACACACACTTCTCAGCATTTTTCACTTAGATGAAGTTTTCTGCAGGTATCCAGAGGCATTAGCAGCTCAGAACAAGTTGATCCACTAGGGAACACTACGTATGACAATTCTAGTTTTCTCTTCAGGAGTTTTAAAATATAGTGATATTTATTGTGCAGAAATACTACAAAGCAGAAGGGAAGAGAGGAATGTTCCCTAATGTCACTGCTGTAAGAGGTACAACAATAAATTGTACAATGATAAACAGATGAAGAGGATGTTTATTTGTCAAGTAAATGCAGTTATTAACTGCAGATGACTTTATCTTGAAACATTAAGCCTCCAACGCTAACTTTCAGCTTATCTCTAATATGACCAAACCAAATCCTTGGTAGATCTCAAAAAAGAAAAATATTGTTTTTTCCCCCCAGATAAATAATTTCTGAAGCAGGCACCAACTTTGGCTGAAATGTTCTAAGTCTTTACACCAATTGCAAATCACACACAGCCAATACAATACAGAAACCCGACTGTACGCGGAACAGGTGGCTTTCTAACAGTAGCTGAATTCCTACTTGAAGAAAGTAAACAATGCATTTCAACAAGCAAGCTGAAAGTAATTTGCAAACAGAATTTCAGAGAATGAGAAATGTCAACTACTCTTCAAAAGACAAAAAGCTTTAACCGAGAGCTTTCCCTGAAACGCCACCAGGACACAACATGTGCCAGGAAGTTAGTAGCAGTGCACTGCCTTCCAAACCATCTGACTACACAATGAGAAGAGCCCTGAGTAGTGTCAACTATTTCAAAGATATTTCTCTTTTAAAGCTGTTTTTTTATTGCATCAGAGTACACATCACAAACTTACTTTGTGATATTTACTATTAACTCACATAAATTACAATGGGATAGTAGTGCATTATACCATGTTGAATTCAGTTCCAAGCCAATCTATGGCTCAAATTCACACACACCAAGTGAGAAACATCATTATTTTTCTTGTACTAAAGAGATTGAAAAAATGATATATATAAAACTCATCTCCCTTTACAAGGATGACTGTTAGTTAGTATTCAAAGTTACAAACAGAAGGAACATAACTTACAGAGCAAAAGTAATACAGTTTACATTCATCTGAAGGAAAAGCTTCACCGATGCTAAGAATTTAGACAAGGATGATTTCATCTCTTGTCACAGCAGGAGCACTTGGAAGAAACGTTCATGTGAGTCCTTCACTTGAAACAGAATTTTCCATTTTAGCACGTTGTTCCTTTGATTCCAAATTACTATGTAACCACAAAGCAAGGTGTCAGAAATGGAAAGCCAGCTTCTTACACCAAATATAAGACAGGTGCCATAGCTTTTTTAGAGTAAACATCTGAATTGAGTGCATAAGAGGACACGATGCAGGCCTTTTCCAAGTTGTTATGATATGCTAACAATAAAGTCAATAAGATTTACTCACTTAAATTCAGCACTGCACAAATAGCTGAAAGCTGCTACTACATACCATATATAGTATACATTACTGGGAATAATATATCATTAAACTTAAATGTTTTTTATTCTAAATAACACCGTAAAGTTAACATGTATCACAGAACAATTTAACATTAAGTTTGCTCATGGAAGAACAGTCTACCTCCAAGTCAGCTTAAACTGAATGTCAGTACGAGCCTGGCTTGCAGGGTCCTCGTCACTAATAAAGGTCAAAGACAGTTTCAGTTTTCCTTTCAGAACTTACAGATTTTGTAGAGGTGACAGTTCATCAAAATGTATTTAGCACAGGAACCTTGCAACGTGATTTTCTACAACACATTTTTAAAAGAAAACTTCTGCTGCAACCTCCTCTTGCAACACTGAAAACACTAGAGGTCAGAAGACGATCCTTTTATCTAGCTGCAAACAATTTAGAAAACCACAAGTATTTCTAACAAACTGTTTGCGTCCATGTTCTATAAGCTACAGAGCCTATTCTCAGTGGGTAAATTGGAAGGGTGCCACACAAATTTTAGGCAACATATCAGAATCTTCTTCATAGCTGCTATTCATTTCTCAGAGCAGCAAGGATGTATTTTTTTACCTATGTTATTTTTCCTTCCAACTTGTTTATGTCATTTCTTTTTTAAAAGGTACTCATGCAGGTGCACAAGCAAACCACTGGAAAACATGCAGTTATCACATGTTCTAGAATTAAAATATTTTTCAGTTTTTACAACAATATCATTTGTTCTATAAATCAGATAAGCAGACAGCTGAAATCGTACACCTGTCAGATAAAAGCAATTAAAAATATTTGTGAATATTTCTGTTCATCTGACAGTGTACAAGCCTTGTTACCCTTCGTTATTTAGAACTCTAAGAGACTGATGTTTCTCCTCAATACAAAACTGTTTCTCTTTCCAGACATTTTATATTTATATTGAGTTCTTATTACTTGCTAGCAATTTTCAGCTTCTAATAAGTATTTGTTAATCAAAGGCAAATTTCAATTTTCATTGTAACATCCTTTAACACTAGTTTTTCATTGTGACAGTTGACAGGAGATCAAAATCTGATGACAGGGAGCTTTCAGTATGTGCAGTCCCTTTTAATATTCCAGAAAGCAATAGGAACGTCTTTCCCTATTATTTTTCTGATATGTCACAAACACAGAATACTTTCTCCTAAGAATTCTGTAGTTCTAGATCTCATTCTCAACCTACACCAGGTAATACATACAACACTATCTTGTACTTCCTGACTACCTTTAAAATAAAAATTAAAAAAAAGAACAATGAAGTTTTACTAATCAAGGGATCTTGGCAATGACCTGACAGTCTCTTTTCAATGACCACTGTCATTGTGCACATATCTTTAAATAGCAAAAATCTCCACTACAGTAGTATGAACCCCAAATTCTGTCCTCCTGCAGGTTAGATTCCCTCCTGTGCAGTATAATTCTAGATTACATTAGATACACTTGGGCACTAATTTTTATGCCATCATGACTACTTAAAAGTGCATACAATAAACAGACTGATGCTTGACACGTTTCTCTCACACAAGAAAACCACACATGGAATTTTAAGTTCATGCTTAACTTAGTGGCTTATAAAGAAAGGTTTAGCAACTTCAGCTTGGCTTTTTCAGTCTCAAATATGACACTATATTACATAGATAAAATTTTAATTCATCAAACTGATCTAGCCATGTGGCATAGGGCAATCTGATAGAGCTCCTTGTTCTCAGTTCTACACGTGAATTAAATTTGCCTTGAAAAGAGGGACAGGGAATTAGTTAGGCTGCAAGTAACATGGAAGTGGGAAAGAAAGTGAGAAGTGAAAACAATAACAAGCACTGAAGAGAATTTGAAACAATTCAATACTTCAGGCAGCAATACTGGTGCACTCTTAATGATTACATCCTCATCATATTATCTGCCAGGATATGGCTGTTGCAATTAGTTCACTAGAAAGCAGCTATTTTAAGAATAACTTGAGATGGGGAACAGAGGATCACCTGCCCAAAAGACTGTGGTCCAAGCGCAGAAGATCTGAGCCTACAATCAGAACAGTCTTGATGCATTTCTTCTTAGTCAATCCTACTACCATTGCCAGTTTCGCGTTTCAAGTGTTGAGCCATGCAGATGTGCTGGAAGATGTGTGTTTTTAGTATGGATTGATCTGGCAAGTCTTCCACAGAAAAAAGATGAAGAAAATCCTAATCTCATCAATCTTAAATAGTAAGAGTGCTCAAGCACAAAGGAAATAAAATTTATCTTGTGTAAAATCTCCTAGAAAAAAAAAAGGGGAGCTAACTGCTCTACTCATGGTGTTCCTTTATTCTAAATCCGGTTTTGACTTTTTTTAGTGAAGAAAAGGTGTACCAACAACAAAGTTATCTGTTTTCATTAAATCACATTTCCATATGCTTTGACTTCCTCATTTGCTAGATGGTCCCACTGACAGAAAAAATAAGCTGCTTTTATGAGTTATTGAATGCTTCCTGTTGTACCATTTAGCTCAGTAGTAACCAAGCGTTTAACTCAGCTGGTTTTATGTTGTGCTTCAGCAGTTTTGTATTTCTGAATAAAACTATCAGAAAACTGGACTGGTTCAAAAATGAATGTTAAATTTTAAGTGGTATCTTAATGTGTGCTTAAGGTATGCATATCACACCTTTCAAAGTGTTAAAGGAGTTTAAAGATCTAATATTATATGCATAGGATGTGGTTAATGTTCCTTTGTTGTCTTTTTTTTTTTTTTTTAAATAGAGCTAGAACAATTGCAGAAAATCTGTGGTATTTGGAGAGGTCACAATACAAAGATGCCTGGCCTCCTGACAACTAATAGACATTTTAAGTTCGAAATAACGTACTTAAAGAAACTAAATAATATCAATAAGCAAAAAGGGTTAAGAAATTGAAATAGTGCAGGAATTAAAGTTAGGCAAATGTAGAATCAAGGACTTTTTGTTTAAAAACCCCCATCACAAGTAAATCGATCTCTACATGAATTTCTACAGTATACAGCTTCTTCATATTGGCAACACTGCAGTGCCCATCTCCCCTTCTCAGGAAGGATTTTAGAAATGTAGTACTAGTTGGTGCTGTGTCATTCAAAAGCCATTATTTCAATTTTGGCCTCTCCTTGTCTTACTGTATCTTCCAGCTAGTTCCAAATGGACCAGCTTCCCCAGCACTGGCGCAGTCACAAGTCTCTGTACCAGGGGGAAAAAAAGCCAAAACCTAGTGGGCAGGTATCAGCTCTGCTAAAAAAAAAAAAAAGTAGCTGTAACAGATGAAGCAGCCACATGCAGTCCAAACTGACTTGAGAGGCTACGTAAGGAGGGAGTAGCACAGGCAGTGGAAGGGCAGGAAATGAGCCCTGAAGACTAAAAAAGTAACTGCTAAAATATTTAAGCACCTT